AATAAATAAATAAATAAATATATATATATATATATATATATATATATAGTGTAAACTAAACAATGCAAAAAAAAAAAAATCAACTTTATGGATAATTGTTTTTTTTATCAATTTATTTATATTTCTTTTAATTCTTTTCTCTTCCAAATAAAACTTAATTTTCCAATTTTAAAGAAATAATATTTATATATTCTTTATTTGATTTTTTTTAACTTTCTTTTATTTTGTTTTTATTGTATTTTTTAAAATTGTTTTAAATTTCATGTTTATTTTTTTTTCAAGTGGGGGAACAAAAACGATGTCGTTTGTCTTAATATATATTTTATTACAGTGTACCTCCAAATTTACTGCGACATGCAATTTTCCATACTTCCCACCAAATCTCATCTTTTCACTCTAAGCTCAGTATATTTCTAAAATGTAAAGAGTTAGTTATAAGTAAAAAATTTACTTCAAGTTTTTTAAGTGTAATAAAAAAAATATCATTGTAATTAGTTATTATATGTAAAAATATATTAGCCGAAAAAAAAAATCTCTGTCTAATGTAGACAAAGTCTTCGTGCATGTTTTTTTAACTTTATAAATAATTGTTTTTTTATCAATTTAAATTTCTTTTTAATTCTTTTCTCTTCCAAATAAAACTTAATTTTTCAGTTTTAATGAAAAAATTTACTCGTAAGTTAAAAAAATTGAAGAGAAAATAATTAAAAAGAATGTTAAATTGAAAAAAAAATTATATATAGTGTAAATTAAACTATGAAAATAATAAAAAAATAAATAAATTTCTCTATGCACGGAGGCATAATGCAAATAAAAAAAAAATTATATCTAAAGGAGACTATTGTCTCCGTGCATGGAGACTTTGGGTCTCCGTGCACGGAGAGTTGGTGATTTTTTTATTTATTATTTTTTTTTATGGAAGCTAATATCTTTTTACTATATAACTAACTACAATGATTTTTTATTTTTATTTTTTTACTTTCATATAACTTGAAACAAACTTTTTACTTATAACTAACTCTTTATATTTTAGAAATATATTTAAAACTTTGAATTAATAGTTTTTTATTTATAATATAAGTAGCTTTTATAATTATAATTTTTTTTTTTTACTTTTAAATAACTTGAAGCAAATTTTCAGTAACTCAAATATACTTAAAACATTAAGTTGATATTTTTAGTTATATAATATATAAGTAGCTTTTATAACTATAAGTTTGTTTTACTCAGCTAGCAATTTTTTTATATCTTATTATTATTAGTATTTTTATTTTTTAATATTTTTACATAAAGAATTTTTTTTCTCATATTTATGAGACTTGATGAGAGGTATGAAAATTTGCGTATTACAGTAAATTTGGAGGTACACTGCATTATAAGATATATGCTAACAATTAAAAAGGATTTTAAATCGAAAAAAATATTTATAATATGAACAAAAGAAATGAAAAATAAATAAAGAAAAAATAAAAAACAAAAAAGAAATCACCATGCATCCTGCGATAATCCAATAAACCAAACAATTAGATTTCACCAAATATTTCAAATCTTCGACTAGTTTTGAAAAATCTACACTTTTGATGCTAATATCTTTAATTTGTTAAATCATTTAGTTTTTTTTATAATATGAAGAAAAAAAATTTGAATCATAGAACGAAAAGAATTTTAAATCAAACAAAAAATTATTTATAATATAAAGAATTTCATCTTTTTTTTTTTGAAACAATCTTCAAAAAATATAAAATAAAAACAAAACAAATTAAAAAAAAGAATGTTGCAAAAATTAAATAAAGAACATATAAATATTTTTAATTAAAATTGAAAAAATTAAGTTTTTCATAAAGAAAAAAGAATTAAAAAGCATTTTAAATCGAAAAAAAAATATTTATAATATGAACAAAACAAATAAAAAAAATAAATAAGAAAAAAATAAAAAAACAAACAAGAAATCTCCATGCATCCTGGAATAATGTAATGAACCAAACGATTAGATTTCACCAAATACTTCGAATCTTCTAGTAGTTTTGAAAAATCTACAATTTTGACGCTAATAAAAATACAATAAATACAAAATCCGTGCAACGCACGTGTCAAAGACTAGTCTTCTATATAAAATTAATTAAATAAAAAAAACTTCATCTTCCACTCTTACCCCATCCCCCATCCAAACCCCACCTCCACCTCCATCTCCACCCCAAAACCAAAACCTTGCTACCTGTCCTAACCTCCACCGCCACCCCTACCCTCCCTACCATCATCGCCACCACCTTTGCTACCATTTTCTCTACTGTCAAATAGAACCCAAATGAAAAATCAATCAAAATCGAACTATTTGATTTGGAAATGTGGATCCATCTCAACCTACAACCCCATCACCACCAAGCTAAGTTCAGGCGGCGAAATCACTGCCATCACCAAGTCGACAAGCCATATCTAAGGAAAGAACCACCACCACCACCACTATACGTTCACCTCCGCCGACAATCTACAACCACCAAACACTTTACCACAAACTCAATCAAAACCAAAAACCTATCTAGCAACCATCGCCACTACTGACCCAAACTGCCACCATCGCTACCAACTCACACTGCGACCCCCACCACCATTACCCACAACCACCAATACATGTAAATCCAAAAAATCCTAACACCACAAAGGAAAAAAGAACATATTCCCATTTTCATATCCAAATTCACTTGACCCAAATCAAGAAAATGAAAAAGAAGAAAAAACGTGAGATTTTTATTCCTTTTGACAAACTTGGCTCTGGGAACTCTGCATGGAATTTCAACTTCAATCTCAACGATAGAACATCACACTACCACCTCCCAAGTTGAAGCCAAACTCCTCGAAATCATTGAGATCAAGTTCGAGGTTGGGTATGGGTTGGGTGGCGCGAATGGGGATTGGTGGGGATGGTGTGGAAGATGATGATGTTTTATTATTATTATTATTATTATTATTATTATTTTTATTATTATTATTATTATTTTATTTTTATTTTTTTGACTTCCTTGATTAACTAATGGTCAAAAGGATGGATTTCATCTGTTTGGAGTCAAGATTCATATTTCTAAAAGAATAGGAACCTCCGTTTAAGATAAAGTATGAAAAAAAAAAATTTTAAAAAAGGTTAGGAACCGATACTGTAATTTTTCCTAAAGTAAAATATTAGAGTTGGACTATATTTTGAATTTAACTAAAACTTTATTCCACTAATTAAATTAATTGACTAATTAACGATATTTGTCAAATCCATTTGTCTAAATTAATTTATACGACTTTAATTGCTAAAAATTTGAAATATATTTATATATAGTATTATTTTAGAGATGACAACGGGACAGGTTTGGGGTGGAAAAATCCCATCCCGCCTCGCACCCTGCCTCGCCTTAGACGGGGCGGAGCAGGGGCAACTTTTTCCCTCATTTAATTTTTTATTTTTATTTTTTTTTTTACATTTTCAAAATTTTGAGTTATATTATAATTAAAGAATAAAATACAAATTTTAAATGGGTCTTTAGCAGGTAAATTATTTAGAAATAAAATTATATTTATTCTTTTCGTTTTCTTTTTTAATCTTCACGGGGCGGGTTCGGGAGCGCCCTGCCCTGTCCCGTCAACCCATTTGGGGCAAGGTTCGTCGGGACGGGATTTTTTGTCATCCCTATATTATATTATATTATGGAATGTTTGATAGGTATTTTTATGTAAAAATACATTTTAGAATAGTAAATTCATGTGAAATGTGTAGTTGAAAAATAAGAAAAGTTTTTGATTTACGTGTAATATTATTTTAATAAAAAATGTGTGGTTGAAAAGAAGAGAGAGAAAAAATACATTTTGAAAAAAATAGTGACCAAACGGGGCCTATACACAAGACATGATCTATGACTGCTTGTTGATTTGGTCGACTTGCCCTCGATGCTAATATGAGCACTTGTACTGAGTTCATGTTGGTCTTAATGTAATAACAAAGTTGACGGACTAGACATGTTTTACTACGTATCTATGCTTTTGTAATGTAGCGGGAACTCAAGACCAAGACTTCGTATTTAGACAAAGCATAGTGGAAATAGAGTCGTTTAAATCATGAAGTGCCCCATACTAAGTGTCTGCGGTTTAGATTTTTTATTTCCACTTAAGCATATGTAAATTATATTAGTATCTTTAGAATTTCAGTAAAGAATGGCTTGGTGGATCTTTTGCTATTACTTTGTTAGAAGATATTCCTATTTTGAATCATATTTTGGCTTGAATGGTATATTGGTTTCTAATTTATCCTTATTTATAGTCTCACATTCTTTCAATAAAATAATTTTGTACGTCGATTTATATTTGTTTTTCTACTTTTAACTACTCATTTTTAGATAAAAATCACTTTTAACAAAAATTATTCTAAAAAATTTTCTATCAAATTAATGGTGAGCCCTCGATCATATGCATGTAACGAATTTGTATGGTTAACTAACTCCACGTAAAACTCTCATTTATTGAAAGTGGATCAATTAGAGAAAAGAAAGCTTTTCGGTCATTGATTTGAAAAGTTAATTCCAATTCACGTCGAAATAAATTTTCATTATATTGTCATAAGCATTGGAAGTCAAATTAGTCAACATTGAAATCTAGCTATTCATGAATTAGAAAATGTTGTATTTTTCAACTTAAACATTGAAATTAAGTTTTGTGAGATGGATATCGAAGTGTAAAGGTGAGTTGGATTACGCAACGTTTGACGTTACCAGATAAATTTTTTTCAATTTCGTCTCCTATAAGAGAGAAAATATAAAATACTTAAAATTCTGTTATATTCAATATCCCATTTAGTTTTAAATATAAATGGCACACAACATCATTTTCTTTTGAATAATTCGACCCATTCTCGACTTTCAAAATTTGGATGGAACTATCGTCTACTATGTTTGACACCTCGGATTTAAGTTAGAGTGCGTTTGTTTGTTAATATTTTTTATTCATCAAAATTCCTATTTTTGTGCTATTTAATTGATATTTTTTTCATGAAAAATATTTTCCTTATTTTGATCAAGTAATCATATTTTCCATGAAAACAAAGAAAATATCTTTTTAAGGGGAGTAGATTTTTATTTTTTAGGTAATTTTCCTCTCTTTCTCTCTCATGTAGCTCCTCTCTCTCATCAACCCAGAAATAAAAAATGAATAAAAGTAACATTTTTTTGGATTGAAAATTAAATTAATCAAACACATTTAATCGACAAATTTCATATAAATAAATTCTAGACAATTTAATTGTTTAAAAGTTATAATCTTTCCATGTAAATTTCATGTTGCTAATCAAACAAACCCTTATTGATTATTGTTGTTTAAGGAAATCTTGCTTTTGACATTCATTTTGAACATCTTGATCGACATTCATTGACTTGTAAAAAATTTGGCCATCGATTTGAGATTGTCTGCTACGTCATAAAATGTCAACAAAACTGTCACATACTCAAAATTAATGATTAGACTTACTTAAAATTAACTATCAAATTGCTTACTACGTCATAAAATATCAACAAAATTATCACTTATTTAAATTAATGATCAAATTGCCTGTTCAATTATAAAACGTCAACAAACCTGTCACGTAGCAAAGCTCTATTATTTATGGATTATTATTGTTTGTAAGTTTTTCCGAGGTCTGGCAATTAATGCAAAATAAATTGTGAGGGGTACCCCTTTTTTTTTTTTTTTTTTTTTTTTTTTTTAAATGAACCACAAAACGCGATTTTAACATTTTTTTTTTTTTTTTTTAAACAATACTCCAGAAGCATCGCAAAAGAGTCATTTTGTACATTCTTCTGCTCGGAATTGGATGAATGGCGAAAGTTCCTCCAAAGCATGCTCGCGATCAATTTCAAGTAATCTCTTTCTCTCTTTAACATTTTTTTATATTGATGTCGATCAGTGTTGCTTTGTATGTACTTTTTTGAAATTTATTAAGTTTAATTTGTGCTTTACTAGGTTATTATTTTGAGCGTTTTAGTTTAATGGAATTAGTTGGATTACTTTCCAAGAGAACTAGAAACTGAACTCATAATTCTAAAAGAACTTACGAGTGAATGTATCGATGTTTCAAATTTTCAGTTTGTTTCATGCGTATTGTAATTTCCTTTAAATCTCAAAAATTGATTCTAATTTTTCCTTTGAATTCCTCCTTTATTTATCTAGTTACCGTCCATTTTTTCCTTTTTCTGCTCCGTTTTCATGTTATTCAATTGTAGAGGAAAAGGTTTCCATTTTCTTTTCCCGATTTTCGTACTATATATTTATTTTGTGATCATCTAATGAGAGAATGACTGAGAAATTTTATATGGTTTCTGTAATATTGTTCGTAAAAGATCACGGGTCATTGATTTTACTTCTTGATCAGGACTTCGAGGGGCTTTTGAATAACTTACAGGACTGGGAATTATCATTTAAGGACAAAGACAAGAGATTGAAATCACAATTTGTTGGCAAGGACAAGTTGGTATTGTTCAACCTATTCTGCTGTTTCCTTTTTTACTTTACGTCAAGTTTTTTCCCGAGAAATCTGTGAATACTTTGCTACTTTCATTTTAGAGTCTTCAGTATAGAATTGTTATTTATGTGCAACCAGATACCGCTCTGAAAATACTTGTCTTTAAAAACTTTGTAGGTTTTTTTTGGCTTTTTGCATGTTTGCTTTTGTTCGGAAGGGCTTATTGAAAATCATTTTCGCCCGAACTCATTTTCAACCACATATTCACTCCCTGAAATAACTTTGCACATGTGCCCATAACTTTTCCTATTTTTATACCATACATTCTTCAAAAAAATCATTTTTCACTTTAAATACTCTCCCCCAAACAAACACTATTATTTCAGATTGCTGTTTCTCATATTATGAACTTATTTTTCAAGGATCTTCCTGCTCAGAGACATAGCATGAACAGTGCTAGTCAACATTCTAATGGCACGGGAGTTAACGAGAAACCACCAATGGGTAAAACTACGGCTTTGGATAATTTAGGTTCTGGCAGACAATATGATTATATGAAGGACTATGATGCAATCCATCGTTTATCAGATGGCTTAATGGAAGAAGAAGCTGTGGATGCCAATTCAGAAAAAGAGTTGGTATGATATGCTGTGTCTGTGAACAAGTTCGGTTATTATGGTGACGGGATGCCTAGCTTCCATTTTATGCTGATCTCTTTTTCTATATCATTTTTCAGGGTAACGAGTTTTTCAAGCAAAAGAAGTTTAATGAAGCAATAGATTGCTACTCTCGAAGCATTGCTTTCTCACCAACTGCAGTAGCTTACGCAAACAGGGCAATGGCTTATATCAAAATCAAGAGGTATTTTCTATTTATTCTGCATATAATTTATGAATTTTGCAATGAACAAGATGGTTACTCTTTTAATTTATTGATTAGATTCCAGGAAGCGGAGAATGACTGTACAGAGGCCTTAAATTTAGATGACCGCTACATAAAGGCATATTCTCGCCGATCAACAGCTAGAAAAGAACTTGGAAAACTAAAAGAATCCATTGATGGTATAACCAAATTGATATACTAAATATCTTTTCAATCATTTTGCTCATATGCTCTGGCTGAAATAGTTATAACCCAATGCAGACACTTCATTTGCTTTGAGGTTGGATCCACACAACCAAGAGATCAAGAAGCAGTATGCAGAACTCAAATCTTTGTTGGAGAAGGTATAAATCTTATCTTTGCCTAGTCCAAATGCTGTTATTTCTAATTTTTGCAATAAGATATAATCATTGGCTCATCGTAGGAAGTTTTATTGTGGCTTTCATGGATTAGTTAAAATTTTAGAATTTTTTTATTGCTTAATTTGATGGTGTTCAAAGTGCTGGAAAAATTTCACCTTGGAGCATCTGCAGGGATACTATGATTGTGGTGCATGGTTCATTTAAAATACATGGAATGTCATTTTATGTTACTAATTGTAAAAATTAACAATTGTTTATTAGTCTACCTTATGCCATTGACAATCCTATGGAGAAACTGGAAGCATGTTCTATCTGTTATTTGCAACACCAAGGGGAAAAAGTGCCTTGCTAATATGTTGGGTGGTTATAGAACGCCTAAGGATATGAAAATCTTGGCTTCTATTAAGAATGTGACCTAGCTGATGGAGAAACATAAAATTTATAGATTGATTGATTTTGTATTAAGATTGTTACGTATACAATTGAAGGTGCATACCCTATTTTGAGTACAAAAAGAAAGGGGAAAGAATATTATATGCCTCCGTTGTGCATTTCGTAGAATTATTTTTCAAGTAACTGTGGGAATCGATAAAAAAGTTGAAAATTCATTTGGCGGATATGCAGAATCTGTATTTTGAAATTGAAGTTGAGGATAACTAATCTACAAGAATGGTACGACGGTTATTCAGGACTTTTGTGCACAATTATGCAAAAATTTTAAGTACTGGCTGAAACAAGTCTTTGAATAGTTTGCAGAACAAAATCACTTTTTGATGGCCTAACAGTTGAAACATTTTCAACATATAAAGCATGTGGAACATATTTCAGGCAAAACTTCGGAGAAATAAGTGTTCTCAAAAATTTGTTCTGTAAGCATAAGGTCAGTCTCTTATAATCCTTGTAACAAAACATGTATAATATGTAAAGCAGAGTCCTCTAAGCCCATCAGTTATAGACAGAAACAGGAAAGGTCATTTTAGGGCCGTTCATGTCGAGGTCTATCATTGAAGATGGGATGGTATTAGGTTATGAGGCTTCAGTGTGGTGGTAAGGCTTTGATGCTCAAAAGACGAGAAGAATTTCTTGGTAGTGAAGAAGTGGAAGTAGTGTTTTGGTAACCTGAGGTGGTTTGGTGAAGAAAGACATTCCTCCCGACTGTCATATTATGTGAAGCAAAAGAATATCTACTATAATGCTTTGATGCACATTCCATAGTTTCTCCTCATGCCATCTTTACTCTTCTGAAGCTTCCTTTTGCAGGCTGTAAAGCTTCGAGGTTTTCAATGTAGCTAAAATGCTGTAATATTGATGCTTTATCCTTAACCTTTTTTGTTCTTGTTAAAGTCTTCTTCTGGACAATTGTTGCTGCTCGTTCTTTATACATTTCTTTTTTTTATCTATTGTTGTTGCATTTACTCTTGTAGGAGATTCTTAAGAAGGCATCTGGCGTAGCAGGAGGTTCTTCGCAAGGAGTACAAAGAGAGGGAAAGTTGAAGGTAGAAAAGAGCAAATCTATACACAAGGTCCAATCTGTTTCACCAAGTTCTCCTGCAGGAGTGGCTGAGGTTCTAAAGGATAATTCCAAGGTCTGAACAACTGCAGTTTACTTATTTTCACCTTTTACCAGTTATCTTTTGAAGAATTAGTTTACTATGTATTAAAAGAATCACGAATTAGGTGCCTATTGAGGCTGCTACAGGGTCCAACTTTTGGTTAGGTAACGAAAGAATGTAATGTCTTAGGCGCGGTTAAGCAACGTCCTGATTCTACTTTTTGGCATTTTGGTATTGGGTTCACTATGAACACTACAAAGTTGTAACATACCTATGAGCAATTTTTTGTTATTGTTTGTCTAGAAAATATTTAAATTATGAAGAGGTTTATTTTTAATGGCAGATCCGTGGACTAAAATAGAATTATAAGTTGTCAATCTTATACTTTGGTTCTCTCTCTTAAAGCTACTTTTTTAAATTATGAAGAGGTTTATTTTTGAATGGTAGATTCAGGGACTAAAATAGAATTATTATTTGTCCATCGTATACTCTGGTTCTGTCTTATAAAGCTACTTATCTGAATTATGTGTTTATTTATCTTTTTGAACTTCAAAAATTTGTTGGCAGGATAGAGAAGGTGGTGCAGAGACATCCATGGAGGTCGAAAGCAGCAGACTCAGAACCCATAGAGCTGATATGAACACTAGTTTTGGGAATGTAAAGGTTTATTTTGAGATCCTTGCTTTGATGGACAAGCTTTACTTATAGTGTATATCCTGTGTGGTTTCGAAGTGGTATAGATAGATAATATAATGAACCAAAACGGATAGTGTCGGACATGCCAACACGTAATTTTTCAAAAAAATATCGACACTGCACATCATCAACTCATTAATTATATTCTTTAAAATTCTTTATTTACATAGCTCATTGATTAAATTCTTGAAAATTCTTTATTTACATAGTATAATTTTAGTTTGTATTTGTTATTTATCTTTCTTGTTGAGGTCTTTTAAATAAGATTACTTATTTGTTATTTAATAATAACTTTGAGTTAAAAATGTATAATATATCTGTAAAGAAAGAAACATGATCATAGTAGAGTGTCTAAGGAGTGTTGAAATTCTGTTCTTGTTCGACACGTGTTGGACATGGACATGCTACTTTATTTAAAGCGTCCGTACAACAGAGAATAGATATATGATTATACTTTATTAAAAGAAACCTTAATTTTTCTCTTGTTCTGCTCTTTCATTGATTTATTGTCAAACCTTTGGAGAACTATAAAGCATAATTAGAAAATTTCTGGCTTTCCAAGATCTGAAGAGAGCATCGGTGTTCCCTAGCCATCTTTAGGTTATTACTTTAGGACAAACCTTTTCTACCATTTCGCATTGTAGGAGTATAGCAGAAAGTGGAACTTGGGCGGAGAATTGCAGTGGCATGGGGAAGGAGGGGGGACATCATGAATTAATTATTCAATATGGAATTTTAGGAGTGTGATATGAGATTTATGGTGGCCAGCTTAAGGGCATTACGACGATGAGCATTAATTCAAGGGAAGTACTTTCTAGTTAGAAAGCCAAAGGACTTTCAGGCTTTGTTGTTCTAATAGGGTTCTACTGATGCATGTTGTGTTCCTGGTCTGAGGACAAAACATCTTTTGTCAGAACTCTCAGTAACATGTAAGGTTTTCCTCCTATTCTGAACTAAGATTCAAAATTGCTTGATGGATGAATGGATGTGCAAATAAAACGAAGACGAGTTCAGAAATTTGCTACCTTGCCAAAGAAGACCATTGGATGGAGAAGTTGGTCAAATTATGGGAAATCTCTTAATGTTTACCAAAATTTGCTAGAAATATAGAATGACTGGCATGCACATATGCACTCATATTCCAATATTTGATGCTTGACTGGATTGATGTGTGCTGCATTTTGACTAAAAAGATTAACGCTGAATGCCCACACAACACCCTATTAGTGGTGCACTGCCCTTGATCATCCAAACAGGAAAAGAACCATAAGGCCACATGTCATAAATGTTAGTGAATCAAATCATTTATGTAGAAGGTAACTCTTGAAGTTGTTGGGATTTATTTGTAATAAGAAATTGTCTGCAATTCAAAAGGTCTTATCATAAACTTCCATTTACCTGGGCAATAGATGCATAGGTAGCAATCCATTCTATAGTTCTTCTCATTACCACCCATGGGTTTTGATGGGCATACCATGATGATATATGTTGAACACAAGCCCTGATTAAGTCATTCTTTTAATAGCTCAAGAACTAATATATAGGGCTGTAATGCAAACAAATAATAGGTCCTATTCTGTGCTTTTTTGGGGTAAAAATATTGCTACACTACAGTATGGAGACCTGTTTTTAATTTTGTAAACAATACCTCTTAAGTTAGCCTTTTTAATTTCTTAAAAAATGAAAATGAGAACTAAGCTATATATTCGGAATTAACTCTAAACAAGCATAATAAAGATTGTACTTCTTCATTTTATTATGATTAGCAAGTAATCTATCCATGGGCAGAAAAACATACGATGAGATGCTATGAGGAGTGTCTTGGCAGTTAAAGTCAAAAGTATTTTATGATTTCAGAAAAACATACGATGAGGCATCATTAATCGGTTCAATTCTATGATGTCTAGGTTTGAAGTAAAACATGGTCATGCTGTTTCTATCTGATATTAATAAATATAGATTCAGATAGTGAGGACAATTTGTGTCATATTTGCTTTTAGATAAAATATATCATGGTTATAACATAGGGTCTTGGTGTCAAATTTCCTTCTCTCTCACACATGGGTAATCTGTTCTTATTAAAACTCTTTGTAGATTGAACACAAAAATGGCGAGCAAGAGTTGAAGGCATCAGTGCAGGAGCTTGCTGCCAGAGCTGCTAATCTTGCCAAGGCTGAAGCTGCGAAAAATATTTCCCCTCCAAATTCAGCTTATCAGTTTGAGGTTTCTTGGCGAGGACTATCGGGTGATCGAACTCTACAGGCTCATTTATTGAAGGTCAAAATATTACGCTGTCATTTTCTCTGCCTTTCTTCTTCTTTCTTTATTTTTGTATTTATTTATTTTTTTCCAAGTTAAAGGTGCAATTTGTGTTGGACTTCACACACTTGTATAGCTGTCATTTTTCTCAGAAGAAGGAATTTTCCCCCAGTGATGGTAGCCTCTGAGGATGATGATAGTTGAAATTATACAATATTTCCTGTAGTAATAAAGTTTAGTTGTTGAAATGCGACCTATTCCATTTATGACAAAACAGAAATGGATACCATGAAGTGCCAAAAATAAAGAAAAAGATCATTTGATACATGGCTTCTTATTGTTGGTTTTTTGTATTTTGTAAATTTTGAAATATAAATGTGTTTTCCACTTATCAGGTGACACCAGCAACTGCATTACCAGGGATATTTAAAAATGCTTTGTCTGCTCCGATGCTTGTTGACGTTATTAGGTGTATTGCTACCTTTTTCACGTAAGTTATTTAGTTTTTATCATATATTGGTGGAATCTTCATGCTCGTAGTTGTAATTAAATGCTAACATATATTTGATTATTCTGTTTGGCAGGGAAGATATGGATTTAGGTGTAAAATACTTGGAGAACTTAACCAAGGTCCCCAGATTTGACATGGTTATCATGTGCCTTTCACCATCGGATAAGGCTGGTATGTCTATGTGCAAATTCTCTGTTATGTAATTCCATGGACTATATGTTGTCTATACTGTAGCCAAGGTCAAGCTATATTTTTCAGTGCCTTCAAATCATAACTGCTGGCGCTACGTTAATAATAACTATTTGTCAGTTCTAGTTTTATTTTCAGTTCTAGTTTTATTTTCTTACATTAATTGATAACTAATTTTACAAACCACCTCGTGAGTGATTCATCTGTTCTTACGAGATTTATGCTGGCCTTTATTTTAATCTAATATTTTTTATTTTTTTTTTTATTTTTTTTTTGTGTGCGCGCGCGCGTGAAGTAAAATGAAGGTTGTTAAAATATTGGACAAGTAAGAATACATATAATTGGGGTTTCACTTTGGGGAGAATGCATTGCTGGATTCACATTTTACCAACCTGTACACCATACACACACAAGTTCAGATGGAGACGTGTTAGGACTTGAGACTGAATCTAATGGTGTCTATAATTACACGTGGTACTGAATCTAATCTTTAATTCAAATCTCAAACATCCACATCAACAACTAGATGATTGTCACATCATATTATGGACACCATTATGTGCAATAATTATGTACAAGTAAAATTTTCCTACTTTGTTAGAGAGAGCTTTTAATTGGACTGGTGTTAACAAGATGAACATTCTCTATATGAAAAGGTCTCAAATCTGGTTTTCATAGAGGTTCATGTCTAGGATTTAGTTCCAATTCAGTACATTTGTTTGCATTAGCTAAGGGCATTCCATTGAAGAGTAGACGGTAGACTAGTATTTGCAAGTTCGGCTTCTTTGAGATTTCACTTCATATCCATTTAACTGAACTGGATTTCCTCTTAAATCAGATCTTTGGAAGATATGGGACGAAGTCTTCAGCAAGGGTACGTCGGAATATGCTGAGAATCTTGGTAATTTGCGCTTAAAATATGGCGTAAAACAATGATGGAGTTGTGCTTTGGAGGATGGATTTCATTTCTAAGGTCTGCCTGTTTCGAGCAATTTCTTCAAGGAGAAACTTGTCAGGTGTTGGAGTCGGAAAACAATATATCGATGTTTTTTAGCACGGAGTACCTTGTTGCTTGCAGTTGTATGATGATATTTCTTAATTTAATATTCTACTTTGCCAGAAATCATTAGGCTGTACACGGGATCCCATGAAATATGTGGATAACAAATGGGTACTAGTTAATAATGTATGATGAAATTATTGTATGATTTTAACTGGACTAGATAAAAAAAGAAAATTATTAGTCAAAAAAATAGTTGTTAAAATCGGACCGAACTGGTTGGTCTGGCTTGTGAATCCACGAACAAGATTGTGGTCTGGTCCAATTGCTCTAATTGGTACATTTAGCAAAAAAGGGAAAATTAGGCCCGTTACTCTAAAGTAAGAAATTAGAATAGTATTATAGGCAACTTACAAAAATACCCTTAAAATTAGGGGTTTTTTGAAAATTTATACAAAAAGTTTTTCTGAGAGTAAAACATACTGCCTAAAATTAAAAAATGGCATGATGTCACTTTTTTCCTTTTATAATAATTATCACTTTAAAAAGGAAAAAGTAAACCTTTTTTCACTTTTAAAAATTTAATATTACTTTTTTATTAAAAAAATAATATGTAACCTCATTTTTATTAAAAAGTGATGTTTGTCACTCAAAAGTGATAGAAATTTCAAGAAGACGATTGTAAAAAGTGACAAAATTCAAAAAAAGTAATAGAAATTTAAAAAAAAAGTGACACAAATTTAAAAAGTTATATAGATTCAAAAAAAGTGACAGAAAATAAAAAGGGACACTTTTCCATATTCTTCTTGAGTAAACACTCTGCATGTTTCAATCTAATTGATTCAAAGTTTTCATTTTCATACGTATTAAAAAAAACATGGTTATGTTCAAATTTTCAAAAAAAAATGTACACATATACATCTAATTAATTGCTCCAATGAGACTTTTTTTTAGACACATTTTCCTTAAACAAACACATTGTATACATCAATCTAATTGATTAAAAACTATCTTTTATGTATTAGCATAAAACAAGGCTTGAATTTGTATGTTCAAGTTTTTAAAAATGCACATGTATACACATCTAATTAATTTCTCAAATGAGATAGTGTGACTTTTTTTATAATGTCATTTTTTCATATTCTCCTTTCGTCAGACACTTTATATACATCAGTTTAATTGATTCAAAGTTAATTTTTCATATGTATTGACAATCAATATCTTCTCAAGTTCAAGAATGTTACTTTCAAACATATTTCGAATCACAATAGCAAAATCATAAAAGTGAACTTCATAAATGTCAATTTTTTACATTATAAGTTTCAAACCTAAATACATTGCCAACAGGCTTTTTGCTCCTCGTTTAAGTTCCTTCAACTAATGGAGACCAATTTGCTACCTCTTCAAACATCTATACTCCAACAGTAATCCCAAAAAGAAACAGGTACCTCACCCCCTTCATCATCTATATGTTCACAATCCTTACTCATTTAAAACATAACTACAGAATCCCCATTCAAGACAAAATTCACGACAAGACACTATCTAATCGGCTGTGTACTTCATCGTGCACGCGAATAGCACCAGAGATGACCAAATCGAAACCGAGCGGGAAATATATAAGCATTGTTAGCTTGAACTTACACAGAGAATGATTCTCAGTCTATAATTCTCCACAAATCAAAGTCGAACATATATGTTACATGGCCAGGAACATAAGTTTTGCCATTGTATTCTACAGGGTCGAATAGACTTCCACTTGCGAAAATTGCACGACCTTTGTTGAAACAAGATGGAAAATACAAGGAGAAGTTAATTTTATCATCATAATAGCCATCTCTAGAAAATCTTAGTACTTATCAGACCTCAGTCCATGAGTAAGCTTCTTCAGTACTGCACTCAACTTGAGAGGTTGGATTAGAAATAGCCATGATAAGAGGTTGTTGTGTATCATGTGAACTGTGATTAGATAAATCTATGTAAAACACCATTGTGGGGAGGGGGAGAGAACCTTATTGAAAGTAGCTGTAGGAGGAGAGGCAGTGGAGCTCAAGGATTTTGGTGACAGTGTTGGGGGTGATGATTTGGGGCTTCCTAAGGCTTTGGTTGGGGTGGGCTAAGCATATTAATTACGGGATTTAAGATTTTAATTAAGGGAAAAATTCATATGTATGGTGTATTGTTTACACCAATTCACAAATCAGGTACAAAATTTAAAAATTTAAAATTCAGGTTTCTGTATAATAAAATTGAAAATATTTATTAATTAAATATAATAAAGTCACAGTTACACGATTAATGGTAACAAATTGATAATTATTGATCACAAATTTACTTATTGGTCACATATCATTCAATTAATTGGTTACAGATTATTTCGAGGTCACAATTAAAAAATTTTGTAGGTCACAGATTATTTCAAGGTCACGGATAAAAAATTTACATGTTACAAATTATTTCATTGATCACAGATCAAAAAAATTACAAATCACAGGATCACATATGTTCAAATTTATTGGTCACATATTACAAATAGTTGGTCACATTTACCAAATACCCCTACCGCAGATTTTGATCCAGCACCAATTTTGGTCACAAATCACCACCACGAAATTGCCACTTGCACCACACCATTGACTGCAATGTACCAACACCAATTTAACAAAAAAACCACCATCACCCTCGTCGCCTACACCGCACCACCACCAATTCAAATTGTGCATAGTTAACACCACCACCAATCAGATCATACCAGCACCACCATCACCCCCGCCACCCATCCCATCCACAACCACCGTCGCCACATCCATGACCACCATCACCGCCTTACCATCGCCAACCAACATCACAGTCACCATCACCCAAAAAGTAAGAGAAAACTCACCATCACCGCACCCAAACTCCCATCCAAAACCACCATCACTAGAACATCCACCCACCAGATCCAATAACCTCCACCACATTGTCAAAACCATCGCCGCTAGAACCACCACCACAACCACACATCACCACCAACTCAACAGATACAATCGCTGAGACCATCGCATCACCATCCAAATCCACCGCAGCTAGAATTACAACTTACCAGATCCAATTACAACCACCACATCACCAAAACCACCGTCTGCGAAATGGACTCTGTAAGTGCAATAGATAGAATGATCGCTGCAACCATTAATGACACAATTTTTATCTTACCGCTTTGGAAGCTAATATCTGTAATAAGCCAGGATGATGACTCGAAGGAATAGCAAGTTGCTACTTCATCACCACCTCAACAGTTCCAATTGACTGTGAGCACTGCGAAACTATCCAAAGGATCTTATCAACTGTAGTCACAGTGGCATCACTGCACTTGCTACGAACCACCAACTCCATTAGCACTACCACAATCCACTAACGCCATTAGCAGCACCTATTGCGCACGACAGCGCAATGAATGGCAACATCGCTGCACGCAGAGTGATAGAGAGGCAAATTTTTGCAAGCAGTGCGATTAGAGACTGCACCATCTCTAGATCGCAGCAGCATCGTCGAGGGTGCTCTCCGCGACGGCTTCCAACTTCGACTTCCGTCATTGTTGAAGTTTCTGTTACTCATCATTGAAGAGAGTAAAAAAGAGAAAATGGGATAAAATGATTTAGGGATTTCTCGTGGGTGTTGAATTTAGAATATAATTATTAATAATAAAATATTAAATTATTACATGATTTCTGGTTAAATTTGTTTCATACCTGATTTTTGAGGTGTGATCTTTACATACAATGGTGTAATTTTCCCTTTAATTAATTTTAAAAGTATTATTCTAATTTGTTAGTTTTGGAGGTATTAGGCCTAATACTATTAATACTAATTAAAATGTTTAATCTCGTAATTAATATGCCCAAATCCACTCAAAACCCAAACACAATGCAATGCCCACCACTGATTATAGACAAAAATCTCAAAATCGCCACAAAATCCACAACTCAAGTTTCTTTGTACGAAAAACATAGGGTGAAAAAACAATCGCCAACCAGCGAATCATTCCATGGTGGCTTTGGTGTCTCCAATTGATAACTATTTCGTCCTCTATAGACTTTTTCTTGAAGTTTTCGCTTTACTGTGCACCATTAACGGTAAGAGCTATTGATCTAGTCCTTCATTTTTCTTTTTCTCTTGAAATATGAGTATTCGATTGGGGTTTTGATACAATTACCTTTTATCGTTTGAAATTTTAAAGGTCTCAGATGATTGTAAAGTTCTATTAGCTTCTGCTAGTATAAATTGAGAAGGAACGACAAAAGTTACAGATATAACTGAGGATTTTAAAGATGCAACTCGGCTTGTGGCACTGGGTTTGGGATATAATGAGGTTCTTTTTCTTTGTGATGTTTGTTATTTTTCAATCAATGTGAGATCAGTCGGAATTTTTGCTATATTTTTCCATTGACAATGTATATGGTGGCTTAAGATTGGAATTTAAAACTTTTTCAACACAATTATAATTACTTTGTGAGGTTTGACAGTCGAGTTTTGTTTTGTGTAAAATGCTATGTGGATATTTGTTTATGAAATGCTATGAAAATTCTCCTATGTGATCTTTCTTTATTTCTTCAATCTTGATATACAGAGTTGATTGCAAAACGTTCTTTATGTATTATTTGCTGTACTATAGTTTTGTTTTAGAAGAGAAATACTGCAATGTGATTACTTATTAGAATGGGCATCTGCATATAGAGTTCATTTGCTTACCATGGTGAAGTGCTGTTTTGGTACTTTGACTAAATTCTATTTGACATGTCATGGGTGAATATGATGTCTGGTTTTAAAGCTAGCGTCAAGGTGTAATAATAGTTGGTACTATGCCCTTGTTTACTACAATTGGTGATGTTGAATACTAATTTGTTTTCACTTAGCTAGTGCTTACTGCAATATGTTCAATACTAAATATTAGTTGCTAATACTGATCTTGTGATTACGTTCGCGTATCTGACAACACAAATGGTATTACAAAATTCTCGTGCTGCATTTTATCTTCATTTTATTGTAGTTTTTATGCCTTGGTGATATTTTGTACTCGTTCAGTGTAATTTTGGTATGGATATCAGGTTTAGGAAATATTGTTGAGGCGTTGATCAAGAAATTGAACATATCGAAAGAGAGGGGGGTCCTAGGTCTCCAAGGGAACTACTGCAAAGTACTGGGAGAAGCCCACTAAGCAAAGCCCAAATCGCAGCCCCTGTTTTATCTTGCAGCCCCGTTGTATTGTTGGTTATTAGATTGAAGCAAAGCAGCTCCTGTTTCTTGTAACTTTTTGTATAGAGCAAGGTTGTAACTCTCCTGTCTTTATCCTTGTTCCTAGTCTAATTGTCCCTTTTTAGTTCAAGTATGAAAACTTTTGAGAAAGTGTGAAATATTATGTCGAACAAGTATTTAAGAAAGAATGAAAAAGAAGTCGTTTTTGTTTTGGTTGGACAATAGGTGCGATGAGGCCTCTGATTCAAGTCGAGTTGATGCGTTGTTGTTTATTTCTATAACAAATGATTTCTTACTAGAATAGAATTGATACTTAATACAAATATCATGTTTTGGTGCTTGTATTTCCTTTTATGAGGTCTCAATTGAAAACAAAGGTTAGTGTTTTATGTGACGTTTTGAGTGACCTTTTGCTCGAAGGGTTGGCCTTAGTAGAGGTGGAGTGATGGTGGTGGTGGAAGAGTGGCTGAATTTACATAAAACAATATATATTTAAGGTTTTGATCAATGTTTTGTCACTTTTTTTAGCTTGTCACTTTTTCGAATGGGAATTTGCATAGATGTCCCTCCATTATCAATTGCCAAAAAATTTGTCATTTTTTTGAAAATGTACTAAAAAATATCTTATTTTGGGTGCAAATTGTCCACGATACCCTAGTAATAACCTTTTTGGGGGTACATTTAATGTTCCTTAATGTGTATATTTAGTGTTAATTAATGTCATGATTTGATAGTTGACGTGGGTAAGAAAATCCTCTTTGAGTAATTCTTATACATTGTGTAACAGAAGTATTAACCAAAAAAATATTTTATTTCATAATCTTTTGCTATGTAGATGAGTGATAACTTGTCTAAAAAACATAAGTTTTTTTTAGTCTTCTCTAAATTAGCATTTATACATTTTTAATACTTTTATCTTACAACTTACTAGTATGGAATTATTAAATACAACCCTTCATAATTATTTGCAATTTTTTATTCAATCACTTTGATTGCTTTTGCAAATTTCTTAGAATGACAATATCCGCCATAAAAACTTGTTAGAGATTCCCTAATTAATGAAGCACTATGTAAGTTGTTTTTTGTTGAGCATTGATGAATACACATTGATGAAAACACTTAATACTGTGATAATTGTAGTCCAATTACACCAATTAATTGATTCCCATTAGATACTAACCGTAAATACTTACTGTTCTGTCAAACTAGACTGTGAAGACCAACAGTTAAATGTTGACCTCGACTAATAGTAAATGTCGGGAACAACAGTTAAATTGTCAGTTTCACCGATTTGTTACTATTTATTATTATTTATTCTTAGTTGCCACTGGCATGCTGTTAATGTCCGATATAATTTTATGTCGAATGGTTACAATTGGTACCTCAAAACTTCAAGCATGTAGTAAACTAAGATTCAGCATCTCGCGTGGGGAAGAATTTGTCCACATAGACGATGAATGGAAGTGACGGGAAAACAAAACCACTTCAATCGTAGTTCCAAGTTGATGACAAATATACGTGAAACATTTTATAGCCAAACATGTCCTCTTGTAAATTATTTTTCATCATTAGGTTATTGTATATATTTTTGAATGAATGCAATATTCCCCATAAAATATGGCGGAATATTCTCAATTTAATAAAGTATTGGTTCAATGATTGTAAAGTTTTTGTCATTTAACATTGAGCATTGATGAGCACAATTAATACTATGAAGAATGTATTACATTTACAACCCTCAAATGATACAGTAGACTGTAAAAATCAACGATCGAAAATGTCAAAAAAAAATATGCCAAATTCAACAGATGAAATGTCGAGCTCGATAGTTAGTAAATTTTGGGCTCAAAATTGCAGCTGTCGTATTCTGTTGTTTGCTATTATTCGGTACAATTTATTTGTAGGTATCAATTTCATGCTAATAACTCCAATATTATGATTGTGTCGAATGCTCATCATTGCTACTTCAATTTTTTAAGAATGACAAATAATCTGAGATTCATTATGCCAGACGGGAAAGATTTCATCCGTATAGATGACGAGTGAAAGTGGCAAGAGAACAAAAGAACTTCACTCTTAATTCCAAGTAATATCATTGAAGCAGAACTTATGTTACTATTGATAGAAAAGCTTCGTGACTTTGTCTCGACCATTGTAGCACGTGTATCGTCCAGGGCATAAGGGGCATGATGACTTAATGTCATCCCTACATTCCTTTTATTTATCACCAACATTCTGTTCAAGGTTCCAAATTTAACAATGGCAACTAAACACGAGGGTTGCACTTCTTTGCGGTTCTTAACCCAACGCCTTACGACTTGAGTTGATGACAGCCATGCACCACCTATGTCCGCGTTCCCCTGAGCCACTCTCTCTTTTGAGAGGATTTGTGGCATTTCAAGCCCTAGTGAGATTTTTCACTATGCATCGAATTAAACTACATGCTCCATTGCTTGTGTGGGCCCTATCAATTCCTTTGAGTTACATTCTTCCGAACGTACTCCCCAAGTGGGATACTTAACGCGTCAGCTATAGTACTACACAGGTCAATATGCACAGTGCCTAGTATCAATCGTTTAGGACTAGGATAACCCCTCATTTTGTTTTTTGACAGACCAATCATTCCATAAACAAATCAGATCCCTCATATTATTTTTAGTTGTTTATATTTGTTTTTTTTTTTAGGAATGAAATTATTTTAAAGAATATAGATTTCCATACTCTATTTATATAAAGTGTGGCGATTCTAATATTCTAATGAACAATTCATGAGTATGGATGATGAATCAAAAAATTCTATACAATTCTGAAAAACAAAAAGATCCTGCAAGTCTAATCATACCATCCACTAAAACTAAATTGAAGTTCAAAATCCTGAATATGTATAGGGATGTCAAACGGGCCAAGCGGCTCGTGGACGGCTCAGGCTTGTCAAATGAGAAGCTTGAGCACGAGTCGAACAGGGACGAGATCCAATGAGTTGAGCCATTGCCACCTCTATATGAATATACCTCTAGTCAAAATATACGAAGATGAAGTTTAATGATAGAATCAGGCTTTAATTTCTATTTTGTACATAAGAATGACGACTTTTGTTGTTTATGTTGTATTATTATTTTATTGTTATTACACTTGTAGCTTTAGATCGATTACAAACATGATAACAAATGTGCGAAACATAACATTTCATTTACTAAGAGTTGTTAAATTTTCGACAACAACAAATACGTGCTCAAATTCTCGACAATCGAACATTGATAAGTTTTCACAAGATAAAATAATCGGGCATAACGATTATATCGTACTAGACGATACGACGAGTATACAATAATGCATAGATACGATAGCCATGATTATAATACATAAATGGTAACGGTTACACAATCAAGCTACACAATTGATTAAATAACTATATTTCGCATACCATGAAATAAACTACACCTATACGAAAATAAGTTATACAATGTTTTTCATCATCAAAGTACAAAGATTAGATACTTGAACTTCATAACCTGCAAAGTTCCACTATTCTCAACAATTCAAAAAGGGAAGTCAATGTTTTCCATTTAACAAATTTCAATCATTTCAGTTTTCTCCTCTCTTTTCACCACTTATAGTGTAAGGACTTCAGTTCGAAGCAAATGATATTCAAATTTACATTGAGCGCTGCTTCTTTGTCACTGCCACTTCTTTATTTTCAATTAGATAGGTAGCATTTGAGGGCACTTCCTTTACTAGAAGAAGGCGATGACATGCCCTTCAGGCACTCTCCAATAGCATCATAGTTTGTCAATCTATTCAAAAATCAATAACATGAACAAATACCAAATGTCAAATGATGGTATATAATATATTTACTTCATAACACACGTAGAAGAGTACATAAAACAAGTTTGATGTTGTATCATAACTGTCGAAAAACAATGACCAACTATCGAGAATTTTAGATCATTAGTATCTTGAATGACAGTTTATCTCGACAAATGGATTCCATAAGAACTACACTTGAATAATACATATGCTAACATGAATCGGATATTTGAATCCTCAATTGAACCACATTACATCAAATTTAAAAACATATCAACTCACAAATTCAACTCACATTTAAATTAAACTCAAAAATTTCGTCTGAGTGATACGTGAACCGATCATAAATTGATTCAACAACTTAATGTCAGTGAAAGATAAAAAAAGATCGTAGCATATGCATTTAAATTATTGTACTTACAAATTGAATAATCAAGTCTTTCAGAAAACACAATCACAGATCAAACATAATTCCTTATTCATCCAAGATTGAATCAAAAATCTGAAAAAAAAAATATCAAAATGTACAGATAAATGAACAGGCTTACAAATAAATGTACCTAAGTTGATTCAAAAATTAAAAAATGAGACTAACTTCATGCAATCTCAAAAATCATATCATAACACAATGCAACAAGAATTTAACATAACGAAGACTCTCAAAACAATAACATATTTGGAAAGAAATTCTCTGTAAAACCTCAAAACCAAGTAAATTGTCAAAATTATACAACTACACTAAACAAGAGTGCACTAAAATTTCTTCCATTCTTGCTTCCAAGTACAAACTAAATGTAATTCACTAAACAAGATTGCAGTACATTTTTTGCATAGTTTCGCTTTTTCATTAACAAAGCACATATGCCCATTAAAATTTAAGTAATCTTAGTTACAAATCTAAATAAAGCAATCCAGTAAAATAAATAAATAAATAAATAAATAATAAAAAAAAAAGGAACACCAAATAAAAAAGGGAAAAAAATTAAGGAACAAATCTTGATTTTTCTTAAATAAAAAAAGTTAAAAATTATTACCCAATATTACATGAAAAGTGCTTGAAAATCTCAAATTTTTTAGGAACTTGAATATGGTCATTTATTAAATCGAAACCCTACATAAGAGTTTTTTCTCTTAACTTCAAATTGCAAACAACCATAACACAAGTAAAATGCAAATTATTCAAAATATTCAAATCTAAAAAAATTAAAAATGAAATTTACCTCGATTTGAAGTTAGAGCGAAATACAAACCGTCGAATATTAAACTTGAAATGTACTTCGACTAGCTATGAGTTATCGATCGTGACATGGAGAAGTGATC